AAGCATGGTGTTCTCATATATTAAGCATATTTAAGCCACCTTTGAATTTGTTTTGATAGATTTGTTCTCTTTTTATTTTATCTGGGCCGTTCCAAAGAAAATTAAAGAATATGAAGTTTAATTTTGTAAAGATATCTTCTGGCGTATATAGTGTTTGAAGTTGCAGTTCAGGTTCAGGTTGTTTTATATCCTTTTTATATATTCGGCTATAATATCTTTCAATTTCGTGCATTATGTCTTTTGGTTTTTGTAGAACTGTTCCGTCGTCTATTTTATATAATTTGTTTATGGATGTAGAGATTTGCTTATTTTTTTCTAGGTTAAGGAAGAATATTGTATTCTTATCACTTTATAATAATTTTGAATTTTAGACCTAATCATGGCTCCTGTGGCTTCATTTGTGTAAATATCATCTAGTTTGTTTTTGGTGATTTCATATTGTTTTAAGGTATTGTATCTTTGATTGTCATTTGATAGGTTTAAAACTCCCTCCAGTTTTTCAAGCTCTGTACTTAACGATCTCTTAGTTTCTCTTTTAACTGCTTGTTTTTTCTTGCAATATTCAATTGTTATTTTCTTGATTTTGAATTTAAAGAAACCCAAAGTCCCCTTTTATCAGATATATCATGATATTCAGATTTCCATGAGTTTAATGAATCTGTTATCAATCGGGTATAGTTTAATTCTTTTGTTAAGGTTGAATTAAATATCCAAAGTTTTGGACCACGTTTTTCAGTGGCATGATCTATTGTAAAAATTATTGCTTCTCCAGTGTTGGAATTTTGTGTTGTGTATAAAAGGTATATATTCAGATTGTTTATTAAGTGCACTGAAAGTGAAAATAGAAAATACCCCTTTTCCATGGATGTTCCGAATTGACCCAGTTGAATTTAATTGGTTAAAGCAAACATCGTCAGTTTAGGTCAAAAGGTTAGTTTGACGAATGTTCAAGACTCTGGTCGTAAGACCCTGCTGTGAAATGGCAATACTAAAAATAAAAACTTAGAAAAAGTAACGAAAAGAAAGTTGGGTCTTATTTTACTTAGACTGCTTTAACCAGTTATGAAGGGACAGACACCTGTTTTGCTAATTACTGTACGAACAATAAGACAATATATTCCATAAAAGCAATTAGAGAGAATTGTATTCTGGATTAAGGAAAATTCTATTCCAATGTTGTTTGGAAATATGGTTTTACAGAAGATAATTTTAAGTCTGAAGTTAGGCTTATTTTCTTAGAAAATTTCTTGTATGGAAGTGAGTTCAAGTCAATTAGCATTCTTGTTTCTTAGAGTAACTTATCATTTTTGATTATATTGTACTGGTACTTATAGATTTTATTTTTGATCATACCCTTTGTGTTTAGGTATGGTATTGGATGTGAGAACAACCCCAAATATTAAAGTAAATGCAAATGCAGATGGAAGTAAGAGAGTTTTTGTATTTTGTTATAGAGGGGAAACTCAAAATTGGTTAAAATTATGGACTAATCCAAAGGCAAGTAGATAAAGCAGAACTATTAATAACGGTCTGAATATATTTTAATCTGTAAATGATATACATGTATTGTGATTGATTATTCAGTCTATAAAATTTCATCTTTTTATGTTTGTCTTGTTAATTTATGTAATCGAAAATGAAACTATCAGTGGATACCATCTGATAATTTGCACAAAGACCAACTATGTTGTGGTCTGATTCACTACTGGTACTCAAATGTACATGTCAGTCATATTGCTTTACTGGACACTGATGTGATTTTAATCACTTAATGTAATTGCAATATCAAAATAACATCTCGTTTAACATTGGATTTTCACAGTTTTGTTTGGTTCTGTTTTAATGCAAAATCAAAAGTTAATTCTTTTGTATTGAATGAAAATTTGTACGGCTTTCTAGTTCATATAGTTTAGTTGATATTTCTTTTCAAATGTGGTATACGTATTCAGAATGCCAAGAATTTATTATTATAACCCCTTTCTTGATTTATTCCAGCTTTCTGTCATTAAAACCAGTGACGATCAAGATATATCTATGTATCTTGGTAAAAATGTGACTGAGGTACAGAAATCATTGAAAGCAGATACTGGTACAGCATGGTGGAAATATATTTTTACAATCCAAATTTCGTCTGTTAAAGAAGATGTATCATTGAATCCTTTCAATATCAGCTGTATAGGAATATCTTCTTTAAGACAATACTCTGTTGAATTTAAAGTAAAAAGTAAGATTTATTCCTAATTTCCTGATAAAATAGTATAAACTCTATGTGAATAATATTATAATGATAATAATTTATTGCATTTGATGCCTCAACAGTTCTGCTAGAATAGCAGCTCAGTGGTGTCACAGATACAGTCATATAATAATAATAATTTAAAATACCAAAATGATAAGCATAAAATAGTCTGTCTTTACTATGATTTTAATAGTCCCTGGGAATTCACAAATATATTTGATCACCCAAATCTGATTTCTGTTTTATACAGTTTTTGATTTTTCAAGTGATAAACTGAATTTACTGATAGGTAAGAGGATTATTCAAGTATTACATTCTCATCCTTTGATGGTTTTATTTTATAGATCCTGAAATTTGGTTTATTGCTTATGTTTTAGCAGGAACTATTCTTTTCTTCTGGGCACCAGTTTGGAGCAGGTGAACATTTTATGATCTCACTTCATTTTGGATCAATTTCTTGATACATCCCTCTTTGAGCATTTTTCACTATTTGCAATTAACTCTATTTTGAATTTTCAATTTAACTGCACAGAACAGCAGAACAGTTATTGAAAGATGTAATTGAGAATGTATATTTTCTAGGAATGTTTTGATACACTATAGTGCTGGAGTATCTGTTGGTGTATTAGCCTCTATTTTATTATTAACTTATATATTACAGAAATTTCTACCTCAGGTATGTTTCTTCGTAATATATATTGGGAAAATTATTTTTTTGGAAATGCTGTAAATGGAGATTAAAGCATTGTTGTAAATATAAATGAATCCATTATCATTCTGCCATCTAAAAATAACCTGACAAAGTGCATTACATTTTTCAACCTCATTGTATGAAGGAGTGTCCATACATTTTGATTTTATATTGTTATGTATTCAATCTTCGTAACTTCCAAATATTTATTCCATGTCATTTTCAATATATTATAGAAATTACATTTTTATTTTATGTACCCTAAATGGTATCTTCATTGTTTATTTCAGAGATTAAAATCTATTGCTCATGTTACTCTGATATTTGGTGGATCTCTGTCATTATTTTTATTGAGATGGCTGTCAACTGGAATACAAGATTTAATGAAAGATTTTTGGCAATATGTATTAGGTTATACATTAGTCACTGGTTTTATAAGTTTTGCTCTAGTTTATAGATATGGACCCATTAAAGACAAGAAATCATTGAATTTATTACAGTGGTTATTACAAATTATAGCATTAGCCTTAATATATCATGGTACACAGATCATAGAAGCATCTGTAGCTATTATAATCCTAGTGATTTCCATCTATTTATTTCCTGGTGTTTACCTCAGTAGATTTATCAATTATGTAAGGTAAGATTTACAGATGGAAATTTCTTTTATGGTTATTTTGTGTTTGTTTGCTCAAAGGTACACTGTCCTTTCTCCCAATGACCAAAAATTTTTATTAATATTGTGAAGTGAAACTTGGTTTTTATACGCCCACATGGAAATGTGGACGTATATTGCCATCGCTTCTGTCCGTCCGTCCATCCGTCCACATTTGTTGTATGCTCAATAGAGGCTACAGTTTTTATCTGATCTTAATGGACTTGGTATGCATGTATATATTGATGAGA